TTGATGTCTTTCACACCCAATTCTGTGCTCTGACCTGAAAGCCCACTTTCCCTCTTCTCTAGATACTTCGTTTCTATTCTCTAAAGCAACCTCTGTCCTCACTTCCCTCCGAAATGCTTCTTTGATAGGACATACTGATTTCCCGACTTTCAACAGTAGTGACGATGAAAGATTTCTAGGCCCATTGCCGGCTATTGCAAGTTACTCGCTTGGAGCAAGAAGAGATTTCCTCATGAAACACAAACCTATCCCACCAAACGATAACGCTCCTCCTCCGCTAGAAACAAAACCTATCAAGCTGCCACTTGCAAGCGGAGATATGATATTGATGCGAGGTAGGACGCAGGCAAATTGGCTTCATGCTATTCCCAAGCGAACAGGGAAGAACGCTGATGATGGAGGAAGAATCAATATTACCTTTAGACGTGCTATGGTAAAGGGTGGGACGGAGAACTACTATAATTATAATGTCGGCACTGGACCTGTGTATAAATGGGATGACATCCTGAAGGAAATGAGAATATGGAAAGAATTATGATTGGATTGATTAGAAGTAAAGTTCACCCACCATCCGGATATATATAATCTCGCATTGTAATGGCATCTAATCTATCTTCCGAACCTCATCTGTGCGTTACCATAATTATATAACGCTTGCAAAAAAACTTGATATCCAACTCCATGATTATCTTGCACGTGAAAAATTTCAGCGAGGCGTAATTGCCATGGTGGATATCCGGACAGTTCGACCGTTGGTCCAAATAATATCAAAAGATTTGGCTCTCCCATGATGCTTTCCGTAATTTCGGCATCAATGAGTTCTTGGCTGATATCATTAGACTCAATTTTGCCTCGTTGGGACATCTCTGTTAGCGTTTTGGTCAAGTCAACCAATGAATCTCGGCCGTCTTCATTCGAAAGAAGTAGCACCGAAATGTGCTGTAAAGAGCCAGGAAGTGTATCAGTCGTCGACGTAGCTGATGAGGACTCCATGGATGGGACATGGGGAGCTCTCATAGACAACGCTGGATGATCTGGTCCAAAATATGAGGCCAGTTTTCTCACTACTGCTCGATGCGTTGCAGGTATATAACCTTTAAGAATTCCTATATTCCATCATTAGCACGCTCCCAATCATATCTTCATCTCCATACTACAATCACCTACCAGTCTTTTCATACACCGACAACATTGGAATTCCTACACACGCACACCATGCTGTGATCTCTGCTACCTCATCGACTAGAGCTTCCAATCCCGCTCCTCCTCTTGCACCGTTCTCCAGATTTAATATGACACTGACATGCTTGGGTAATCTCTCTAACCCCTTTACATCCTTCTGTATCAACCCTGGCGTCCGATGATGGTAAAATAAAATCGCAAATATGCGATCCTTTACCGCATGATATGCTTGCCTCAATCTAATATATAACGAAAATACTGCATGCACAACAGCATAGACTAATCCGTGCAGTTGGAAACGAAAGAAATTGCGAATGCCAAGATGAGAACGGGATTTTGAAGCTGACGATTTAGACTTCGACTTCGATTTGGATCTACTTTGGCTTTTGAATGATGAAGTTCGCGAGGGTAGATCGGAAGGGAGCAGTGGCTAAAATGCAGTTACAGCGTCAATGAGTGGACGAGTCAATTGAATGGGTACCTGCAGGTACACAACGACAGGGCGGCGAAATCAAAACTTACCTCGATAAGCTTTCGTCTTTCTTCTGCTGTTAATAGCGTGTGACCACCTTTTGCATCTTCGCGGTACGCTTCAAGAGCTTTCGATTTGTTAGTCATGTTGATAGTGACACAAGAAGTGTGAAGAACCCCAAGATGATGGATAGAAAGTTGGGGAGCAAAGTGTCCTAAAATATCTCTAGAACGTTTGAAGGGCTGGAATTCATTACGAGGCCACGATTTTTGAGGGTCCACACGTCTTCAAGGTTCAAGCGAGGCTGAGCGTTCCGCGCCTCCGACCTATGCTACTGATACATTGTTCCCACAAGTCAAAACGCACTTCACATACAAGCTTCATGAAATTTAAGTATGGCATCTCTTAATAGTGGTTCAGTGAGATCACTATATCCAAAAGGGCCAAGCTTTACCTTGGAAAACTTCTCAAGTAAAGATTTCATAGTGAGAGATTTTGTCGAAGAACTGTCCGAAAGTGCGATTCCGATAAACAGGCGCTCTGGACCAGCTCAACCTGCATTTGATGCCAAACCATTCATAAGGACATTTGAAAGTATTTATACTCACTTCCTCAATCATCAATACTCCCGAATGCTGATGAGAATTCAGGTGCCCTGCAACAGCTTGCGACACTTTCGGATGAGCTGGAGGAGAAGGAAACAGACCTCCTGACATCTGTTCGGCGGGCCGAGATACAGCATGATCAAACATTAGACACTTTAGGGCGCAAGCTGGATGAGTCAATTGATTCCTTTGAATCGCTCGATATAACACTAAATAACCCCAATGGCACGAATGGCGCAACCACAGATCGATATGGGCGACCGGAGGCAGGGGGGAACATTGCGGTCCAAATCGGAGAAAGACTCGAGGACTTAGACAAACAGAGACGGCGTGCGATAGATGCCAACTTCTTGATACAGTGCTGGATAGAAGTCAGCGAGAATGGGTCGCTCATATCTTTAGAGGATATGATCAGACGGCAAGGTGGAGGGGAGAACAAAGTTAGATCTGCTGTTATCGCGAGGCAGCTAATGCGCATGAGCCAAAGACTAGATCCAACATCTTGGGCTAATGGTTCGAAAAAAGCCAATGGAGTTACCAACGGCGCTGTTGGATACAAAGGCCATAATACTAGGGAAATCATAGAGAAATTCTCGGAAACTTTAGAAAAGGATCTTTTGAAACAGTTTGACAACAGTTATCGGCGCCAGAACTTTGATGATATGCTCGAGTGCGCAAAGGTCTTACACGATTTCAACGGTGGATCTAGTGTCATTGGTACATTTGTCAATCAGCATCAATTCTTCATCGACCGAAGTCAACTTATTGCAGAGGAGGTCACAACCGACAATGAGACATGGGAGATGTTGGCCGATCCCGACTCTGAGCCCCCAGGAGTTGAACCTAGCTTGCAATCTCTCATTGATGAGATCAGAGCTGTCATGCAAGAGGAATCTTTCATTATAAAGCGAGCATTTCCATTCTATGAAGTCGTTCTCATCAAATTTATTCAGCGCATATTCCAACAATCTATACAGCAGCGTCTAGAGATGGTGCTTGAAAAAGCCGATACTATTTCTTCTTTGGCCTTTCTGAGGTCTTTGCATGCCTCGAGGACTTATATTAATAGCTTAATCGAAGACCTTAAAGCACACGGTCTTACTGAGCACCCCGAACCTTGCACAGCTCAAACTGCACAAAGTCTAGATCAGCAATTAGACGAACTATTCGTTCCATATCTGGTTGGAAATTCGTATATTGATCGAGAGAGGAAGAGTCTGGAGGAGCTCTTCTCATCATTGCTCTTTAAGTTTACTATCTATCACTCGCGGCGAAAGAAGGTTCCAACAGGTTTCATGGCTTCTTTGGCCCAACAGGGAAGTCAGCTGTTATCTTCGGCAAAGGATGCATACATTGATCGTCTCGACTCGTCTGAACTCACCCCCACTCAAAAGGCTATGATGTTACGTGTTGCTGGCCTTCGAGACCTTGATAACAATAAGAATGAGATCGAAGTCACAGATGAAGATGGTGTGATAAGTGTCGCAAATGCCAAACGTATGCTTAAATGGCTTGCAGAAGGTGTGCGACGAGCGTTGGAGATGGGAAGTGGAAGCGACACACCTAAAGATGTCTCAGCCCTTCTGAACCTCCTGCTTAGCAGCATGGGTGAGGTTTATATCGAGACAGCACTTGAGGCTGCTGCCGAACGTGCCGCCGCCCAAGAGAACATCAAAACTGAGCCTGATTTGGCCTACCTTCCTTCAGTGCGACCGGCAGTCATCATTACAAATGTGATGTCGCGGTTCATTAACACGGTACTCATACGCCTTGCAGAAACAAATACCACTGTTCGACGGGGAATGGAATCGCAGACCAAAGCGAGTGTGGAGAGAATCGAAAAAAAGGCTAACGACATCATGCGTAGTACCATTACTGTGGTACTGAACTGGATCACAAGGCTGTTGGCAGGCCAGAAAAAAACGGACTTTCGGCCCAAGGATAGTGATCTTGGTTCAATTGAGACCTTACAAACTGCGACCTGTCTTGCTATCTGTAATTTTCTCCAGCGTGTGGCTAAGAATGCCGCACAAGCTGTTGATGGGCAGAATCTCGAGGTATTTAGTTGTGAACTGGCGATCAGCATTCGGGACATGCTGTTTGAACACTTCAAAAAGTTCCAAGTGAATGCTACTGGTGGTTTGATGGTTACGAAAGATATGTCAAGTTATGTGTCCGCGCTGAAAGACTGGCCATTAACAAAGGATATCACGAGTGAAGTGGAAATCCTTAGCGACATTGGCAACTTGTTCATCGTTGGAGCAGAAGCTCTCAAAGAAAAGTCGAGAGCTGTACTTGCGAGTGGGGCCAGCAAAAAGTTGCAGAAAGCAGACTTCAAAGCTTTTGTATTGAAGCGAGATGATTCGGGAAGCGTAGGAGTTCAAAGTGTGCTTGCAGGATTATGATACCAAAAGTCGAAACGGATGTCAATTGGAAAGTAGGCGTTCGGGTGTAACCGGGAAAACAAGGGTGAACAACAGTCATCTTATATGAGGCCTACTTCGCCATTCCATTATCTATAAAGTTGTACAATATTACGAGACAGATACGTTTGCCGTACATGATCTGCTCAAATATAGAGTTGAGAGATTCTTCGTAATCCTATGAGATCCATAAAAGGACCCTTCTACGTGACCTTTCTTGGCCCATTATATCCATCAAATCCCGCCATATTACGCCGTGGCAATGCCTAAACTCCATTGTAATCCTTTAATATTGTACAGGCGGTCTCCGCCATTGACTCATGGCAAATTGAACCCAAAGCCAGCCATACAACTCTTGTATTTTTCCACCATACTTGCGCAGGCTTCTTGGGGATCCTTGGCCGTGCTAAATAGCATACATTCGTCTCGAGCAGCTTTCTCATCTTTACATACGCAGCACGGCTTTTCCAGAAACTACTTAGCTAATGTTCTAAATTGCCAATCATGGAAAGAAAATGGGTCCGTACCTTGGGCTTTGCAGAAGCCTCTCCAGTTGGTTTAAGATCTACGCCCACGTTTGCGCTGGTGGCCGATGTAGCTAGTTTCAAAATCAATAACCTACTCACTCGAAATGGATGGGGCAAGGAACTCTGAAGTAGAGAAAGAGACATACGCATGTTGATTGCAGATGTTGACATGTTCATATGTCGAATATCGTCTTTTAGAAGGCTTTGTAAATAGTACATGTACACTTGGTTGAAATTTTGCCTCTCAATTTGCTGTGTTCGTGGAGTGACTGTATATGGATTTATATAATTGAATTTGTATTTGTAAGAAAGCTCCAAAACTCCATTCCCATAACATCACGACATTATCCCGGACCGAGCGGCCGTCTGCGGCCGGTATGTCGGTAAAAAGTCTCCCCGATCCGTCAATTGACCAAATCGAGATTAGCCTATCTTAACCCTGAGCATTTGAAGACCTGCAGCTGCAACCCCCACCACCTAAAAACATTCCCGCATCCATCAATTTCTACAATCTGCAATTAGATCTCTTACTTGCAAATTTTTGTTTTTTTTCTTATCTCTTTCGAAACGTGTTATACTTGCGCAACGTTAAGACCTAGGATGGCTACCGCAACAAAAATCTTCTCGTTGGAAGGAAAGGGATTGAAATTAGATTCCGCTGCCGATGTCGAACCGCATATCAAGACACTGAGGGAGATGAAAGATGTAGAGGAAGTGAGATTTTTGGGAAACACCTTGGGCGTTGAGGCCTGTAGGGTGATTGGGGAGGTTTTGGAAGAGAAGACAAGTTTGAAGGTATGTCCAGTCTTCCTCCATCAATTTCTGTCTTATTCCCCCCAAGCGGCATTTTAGATGCCTAGAACGAAAAGACAAATATAGTTGCTAACCTCTACAATAAGATTGCAAACCTGGCGGATATATTTACTGGACGTTTGCTTAACGAAATTCCACAAGCTCTTTCATCTCTCCTTACTGCCCTGCTCAAGCTCCCAAATTTGCATACAGTCAATTTGAATGATAATGCCTTTGGACTCAACACTCAAGCTCCACTCGTCGCATTCCTTTCTTCGCACACTCCACTTCAACACCTCATCCTCAATAATAACGGACTAGGACCTCATGCTGGTATTCTGATTGCAGATGCACTTAGCGCATTATACGCAAAGAAAGTCGAGGCACGTGCGGCAGGAAAACAAGTTCCGGATTTGGAAACTGTCATTTGCGGACGCAATAGATTGGAGAATGGAAGTATGACGGCTTGGGCAAAGGCATATAGCTTGCATACCGGTGTAAAGGAAGTCAAGATGGTACAGAATGGCATTCGACAAGAGGGAATTAGTCACTTGTTGAGTGAAGGTTTGAAATATGCGAAGGACATTGAAATTCTCGATCTACAAGACAATACTTTTACAATTACGGGCTCAAAGGCCTTGGCTAGAGTTGTCGGAGGATGGGCCAATATCCAAGAGTTAGGTGTCGGAGATTCCTTGTTGGGTGGGAAGGGAAGTGTTCTTTTTGCAGAGGCTTTGAAAAAGGGCAGAAACACCAAATTGGAGATTTTGAGGTTACAGTTCAACGATATTGGAGTCAAGGGTCTAACAGTCTTTACCGCCGCTGCGAAGGAAGCTCTACCAAATTTGAAGAAGATTGAATTGAATGGAAACAAATTTGACGAGGATCATGATTGCATTGTGGAATTGAAGGAGCTGTTGGAGGAAAGAAAGGAAAAGTTAGCGGGTGAGATAATCATTGAGGATGATTGGGGTCTTGACGAATTGGAGGATTTGGAAGGAGAAAGCGATGAAGAGAGTGATGAGGAAGAAGAAGAACAAGAGGAGCAAAGAGAAAAATTGATCCACGACGCAGAGGAAGCTCAAGAAGGAGAACCTGTTGCACAAAGAGAGGACAAGGATGTCGATGACCTCGCAAAGGTTCTCGGCAAGAACCTCCAAGTCTGAAAATGGTATTACGATTATGAATGATGGATTTTGGATGATTTTGGCGGAAATGAAATTCAGGGTTGGCATGGCCAAGGAATGGTTTGGTTGGATGGGTAGAACACGCTGAGGGAAAGGAAAGGGAGACATCGGGCGGAGCTCTTTGTGCATACCCCCAACTCATGTCACTGAAGTAGAACCTTCGGTTTTCTGTTTCATGCACATATGCATGGCATGGTATAATTGCTTCTTTCTTGACGAAAGTTGGCGTTGCAAGCATTCCCGTAGATAGATACTTTTAGACAGGTAAAGAATTGCCATTTCTTTGCCATCCAAATAAATATTATTCGTTGCTGATTCAACTTCATCCGAGTTGTATTATGATAAGAAGCTTGTATCCCAACAGACTTTCAATGCCTCAGAGCTCACCCAATAACATTTGTACCAAGATTATTGAGGCTCTTCTACATCATCTCCAATTCGCCTGTATGTATGTCATGTCTGCCATCAAGCTCCGAACTCGGTAACCAATCAAGTTGAAAATATCCGATTCGTTACCGAATTGACCTTTTCAGCCCAGTCCAGTCATCAATTTTTAAGCCTCCATCTAGATCTCTTGATTATATATCAAAATTCCAAGAAAACATCCAGGATCTGACTATTCAATTTATCTGGAAGATGAACAGGTCGAAAACTCTAGGTGATATATAATACAGATTCCATATTTATGTGACGAGTAAATAGGTAGGCAAATTCTAAGTTTAGGAGGTACCTCGGCCTTTACTCGCAAAGTGGGCGAGTTGACTTTTTTTTTCCTTTATTGTTATATGTATGACTCTTCACTCTGAACCTGTCAGATTATTTTTTGGCTTTTTTACCTTTTCGTTTTGGATATTTCGATTAGAGAGATGGATCCTTCGGGTGCAGGAACATGCGCGCAGATTGCTAGGCAAGATGCTAATCGAAAGATTGATGATGGGAATACGATACCAGCTTCTCATGAATCAGGTGGCACGAAGACCTTTGATCAGGTGGATATAGAGATAGCGAAGCAAAACACTGGATGGAGGAAGATTGTGAGGAATTTCACTCCCTCGTAAGTTATTTTCTTCTATGTTATCGGTATCTGAGGGCAGACTCTCAGAGTTGGGATTTTTGCCACCTTCTTTTTCCACCTTTTCACGTTCTAACATACCATTTCTAGATGGTTCTCCGTAACAATGGGCACGGGGATCGTATCTATCCTGCTTCATAATCTCCCATATAATGGCGCTTGGTTGAAATATATCTCTATCGTCATATTTGTACTCAATATTGTCCTTTTTTGTACGTTTCTTGGTATTTCGCTCGTGAGATATATATTATATCCGCAAATATGGAGCGCCATGATACGACATCCTGCACAATCACTTTTTCTGGGAACTTTCCCGATGGGACTGGCAACGATCATTAATATGATTGTTTTTGTGTGTGTACCGGCTTGGGGAGGATGGGTGGTTTATTTGGTGGGTTTTGTTTACTTTTCACAGTTTGGAAGAATTTGGGAGGCGTAAATGAGGACTAACTATGTGCCTAGGCTTGGACTTTGTGGTGGATAGATGCGGTTGTTTCTGTGGCGACTTGTTTCTATCTTCCTTTCGTAATGTATGTTTCCCCTTTCATTTGAATTCTGTGGATTATTTGACTAATCTCTCTCATAGCATGTCTCTTCATAAAGTTGAACTCTCAACTATGACGGCCGCTTGGCTTCTTCCGATTGTTGCTCCTATCGTTGCAGCTGCTTCAGGGGGCATTGTCGCTTCCGTCCGTAAGTCTATTTCTATCTTCTCAACCCCACATTCCTCCATATCTAGATACATCTGTTCGGATTTTGCAATCTCGACACTTTTCATCTAAATCTGGAGTGCAAAATCTTCTCCAACTTCCATCACCCAATAAATGAACAAACAAAAACTTACACCTCCCAGTCCCCAATCCCCAACACGCCCTCTATACCGTCCTAATCTCCTACATCCTCTTCGGAACCGGTTTCCCCCTCGCCATGACAATCCTCGTAATCTACTTCCAACGTCTCACCGTCTACAAAATCCCACCGCGAGAAGTAATCGTTTCTGTTTTTCTCCCCCTCGGTCCCCTCGGCCAAGGCGGTTTCGCACTCATGCAGCTAGGAAAAGTTTCCTTAACCCTCTTCCCCCAAACCAATACTCTCCCCGCTATCCCGGCCCCAGGCCCGGGTCCCATCTTCTACACTCTCGGATTCCTCCTCGCGCTTATTATGTGGGGGTTCGGTCTCCTTTGGTTATTCTTCGCGCTGGCGAGTATTTCCCGATCGCGATTTCCGTTTAATATGGGATGGTGGGGATTTACTTTCCCGTTAGGAGTCTTCACTACATCGACAGTGATGATCGGAGCAGAGCTTCCTTCAAGATTTTTCAGAGTGTTAGGAACGGTGTTTAGTATCTTAGTTACGGCATTGTGGGTAATGGTTGCGGTAGGAACGGTTAAGAAGGCGTTTTGGGGAGGCCTGATTTTCGCGCCTTGTTTGAAGGATGTGGAGGGGGCGGAGAGGGAAGCGAGGATACATTTTGAAGGGAGGGGGAAGGGGGGGAACAAGGGAGATAAGGAGAGTGGGGATGAGAATGGGAATGGGGTTGTACAGAGGAGAGTGGGGATTCCGAGCCCGGTTTAGGGGTAGCGAGGATAGGCTTTTAGGCTTTTGCATACGGTTTTTTTTCTTCGGGCCTTTTTGCATTAGATGGACTGGAATAAAGCTCACGCTTTTTGTATCACTATTTTCTACTTTTCGTATCATATAGATAGATGAATATAGTGCCTAGAGAACCAAATAATAATGTACGATTATGAGATACTAATAGCTATACACTCACTCTACTTATTTGCAAATATCTTTAGACTTCAAGAAGGGAAAATCAATATGAATAGCAAATCAAGTCCGACTTCCAGAATTCAAGTCGAGTATCTAGATATATAGAGATACCTACGTAGTAGACTTTGAATCTCAACAAATATTCCGTAACTCTTAGCCCTGAAACGCCAATTCAGATTGATATAATATCGAGTACCTAGCTCGTGACTTTTCAGTTTCACGAGAGGTATAATATGATATTATAGTAATGTAGTATTCGTATAGCGCAGCTGTATACTGACTGTGTACTATACTAAAGCATCTATGTTTTCATCTTTATGCGGGTATCGATTCTCAAATGAATAAATAGATGGATGGATGAATGGATGTATACATACATACATACATACATACATACATACCATCATCCCGATCCATCCACATCACCTGTGATCTTCAGATTGGAGTTGGGAAGTAAATTCCGCACAATTTATTATACATGTATACAGTCATACTCACACCCCAAAACACCTTTTAATATACTATAATATACTAATTTCCAAAAAGCACAACTCTCGAAAGCAAGAAGAAAGACCAGATATAGAAAAGACACCAAAGAAGAAACGAACAAGCGAATCAAAAGGAAGTCAAACAATCGAACAAAAGAGAAAATATAGGATTTTCTATCCCCTCATTTTACTTCACATCCTATCATGTCCTATATTATCCCATTCCCCATATCATTCCTTCACGAATTGATAATACTACACCTTACCTGTATCTCTACATCTCTATCGATATTTATAAGTACTTAGTTGTAGTTATTGTACTACATGTATGATATGATATGATACATCTTTCTCACTTTCTGTACTTCAACACCTCGTGTCAAAGACCACAAATACAACTACAACCACATTCACAACTTCATGTATCCCTATCACTAATCTATCACCAATCTATTCTCAATCTAACCCTAACATACTTATAATATCAATCCATCAATCCATCTACCTACCTACCTACCCATCCAATCGCGCATCAATCCTACTCAAATAATCTAAAGCTCTAAACCACAGATCTCCACTTCATATTCTCAAGTCTCTGTTCCCATCTGTCCATCTCACCATCCATCTCACCATCCATACCTCCTTCCATACCTCCTTACATACCTCCTTCCATACCTCCTTCCCCCTTCCTCCTTCCTCCTTCCCCCTTCCCTCCCTCTCCCCCACCCAAACCAACCAACCAACCAACCAAAAAACAAACAAACAAACAAGTAGACAAAACAACCAATTATTCAAAAGTATCAAAGACTCAAAGCCGCCCCAAAAGATCCACCAAATATCCACATTACAACGAGACCTTTCCCACAAACATACAAAACATACAAACAATACACAAGAGCACAATGAGTCACACTCCACTACACTAAACTACAATAACTTCCCACCCAAAAGCTATCTATATATATATACACACGATAAATCTTCACATTCACACAACAAGACGATGAAAGTCCATTCAAGCACCACGATCGTAGTAACAAGAACCCCTTTCATAAATGAAATTCGGGCTAGCTGACAAAATGCTCAAAAATCTGCAAAATAGTAATAGATAAACCAAGTATGCATCTCCGATTTTATTCACACATCCCCGTTCTTATTATCTACTTCACTATGCTGGACATTTTCTCTTCTTTGCTCCATTCCGTTCCATCTCTATCTTCCAAACTTGAACGTATCCACCCAGGGAGATAGCTTCTAAGTTCTTATATATACATTTCAGCTTATTTGTTCATAGTGCAGTCAGAAGAAATATTCAACTGGAGCAATTCGTGGTATTGTAGAAGTATTGATGTGCCTCTAGCATTCCATCGCTAGAACGCGAAATCGTATGCTTCTGGGCATGGATGGTAGGAACTGGACTGTGAACAGTTGTTTTGCTGCTTCTAGGACTCGTATACTCGCAGCCGTGGCAGAGAGAAGACTGAAGTGGTGGGTGTAGATATTTGAAAGTGAAAAGAACAATGAAGGGGTGAAAAGGGGCTGGAGAACAAGGAGATGAGTGAGAAGTAAGAGAAAAAGCGGCAAAAGACGTGTAGAGAAATGACGAGGAGGGGATTGAGATGAACAGAAGTGAGGGATGAAATGAA